TCCTTGAGTCACGTCTATGCATTCACCCATACAGTTTCCAATTTGTCTCCCTGTTTGCACCGTCATGCCGAGCAATGGGACGTTATGAATCTGGACCCAGAACTCAGCAAACTTCAAAAGCATCCTTGATGGCGCAATATTACCATTCGGCTCTTCCAGAAGCACCAAGGCTTTATCAAAATTCCACGGACCGTTGCGAAGTACTCGGTTACGGTCTAACTCCTTTGCAAAGATGAACAAAAAGAGGTTCTCCCCTAAATCTTTCTCTCTGACTTCCCTAGAAGTGTTCCAAATCTTCATCATAGTCTGTTTAAAAGCTTCACAATTGAAAAGCTCGGTTGTTAGCACCTTGCCCACCAAAGCAGTTTTCAACCTTTCATGGACGTCATCTTCATCTGCTTCTCCTATTGGCACAACATCAGTTTCTTCTTCAGTGAGGAGGAGAACTTTGTCAAAAGAAGTAATGACTCCTCCATCTCGTCTCCCCAAAATACAGAAGAGGATCGCTTAGTGAATCTTCTCAAAAGAACAAAGAAAGAGAAATTAATTTGGGATGTAAAACCTAGAATAAACTCTAGGGGAAAACCCTAACAAAGCCGTAGGGGTGTAGAGCTCTCACGTACCCGTAGGGAGAGAAAAAAAAGCCTCCTTCGTAGACTACTACGCACCTTTAGTTGTGGTGAAATTATATCTTGAGAATAAAAATAATTTATCTATCAAAATCTTTAGAGGAAAGCAAAGATTTGTCAGTGACTAAAATTAGTCTATAATAAAACGAAATCCACCACTTTTTGTATTTCCTTTAAAATCAATGAGTTTTTGAATACACCCAAACTTTTATTCTTTTAAAGTCGTGATTGAATACATCCAAATTTGAATGGAGTTTAAAAAGTCTAAATTGAATATACCGAGAATTGTATAGACTTCTATAAAATCATGATTGAATACACCTAAACTTTTAAACTTCTTTAAAATCTTTTAAAATCTAAATTGAATACACCCCCTAAGACTCTCAATAAACCTCGCTTTGCCTGTTCGTTACAATTCCTCAGTATTCTGATTTTCCAAAATATTCCAATCCTAGTTTTGAAAAAAGAAAAGGCCAAAGCTCCTCACTATGTATTCTCCTGTTCATTTGATTGAGGAATCTGATTTTCTCATGTAAAAGTCGAAGCTTCTGTGGGATCGAGGCTATCCTTTTCTTCACAGCTTGATGCTGATCTCTGTCTTGTTAAAGCTCAAATTCTTAACCTTCTAAATAAGTAAAATTTAAGTAGAGTGTTCTTTAGGGAAAACCATTTTCCTCCTGCGTCTATAAATTCGTTCATAACAGAGACAACAAACTATATGAGTCTTTAAACCTTGTTCAGTTTTCCTTAATTAAAATAAGCATTCTGCTCTTTACTTGTCTTGAGCGTACATACCGAAGGGTGAACTTATGGCTGCTGAGTTTGTGCTTACTTTTGCTGCCCAGGGAATACTGACCAAGGTCACTGCACTCGCCACTGAGCAACTCAGTCTTGCTTGGGGATTCAAAGGAGAACTGGCCAAGCTCAGGGATTCATTATCCCTCATGCAAAACATCTTACGTGATGCTGCGGAGCAACCAACAGATCGGGGCCACACCGTCAAAGCTTGGGTGAAGAAACTTAAAGACATAGCACAAGATGCTGATGATGTGTTGGATGAATTCCAGTATGAAGTTCTTCGAAGTAAACTGGAGCTGCAAAACCACATGAAGAAAAAGGTACTCAACTTCTTTTCAATCTCCAATCCCATTGCTTTTCGCCTTAAAATGGCACAAAAAATTAAGAACATCAACCAACTTTTGGCGGATCTCAAGAGTGAGGCATCTTTGATTGGACTGGTTGCAAAACAAAAAGAGGCAACCACCCAAATTATGGGGAACAGAGAAACCGTCTCAAGCTTTGATGAGGATGAAAATATTTTCGGAAGGGAGGAGCTGTTGTCAGATATAGTTAAGACTTTGATCAAGTCCAGCAATCATGAAAATCTTTCTGTTATGCCCATTGTGGGAATGGCAGGCCTTGGAAAGACAACTTTGGCCAAGTCTGTATACAACGAACCAGAAATAGATAAATCATTTGACACAAAAATATGGGTGTGTGTATCTAACGATTTTGATGTCAATTCAATTTTAAGAAGGATCTTAGAAATACTTAACCCCACAAATGCCAGGATAGAAAGTCGAGAGGCGTTGCTTAAAAACCTCAAAGGAGAGTTGGGAGGGAAGAGATATATTCTTGTACTTGATGACGTTTGGAACGAAGATCGTACAAAATGGAGTAATTTGATGAGTTGTTTGTCAAAACTTGGTTCTCATGGAAGCACCGTGATTGTCACCACCCGCAGTGCCAACGTTGCATCAATTACGGAAACAAATCCTAATCTTAGGTGTAATTTGGATACTCTACAAGAAGATGAATGTTGGTCCATATTGAAGGATAAAGCATTTCCTAATTATGGTAATGCTCCTATTACTGCACATCTGGAGACAATTGGAAGGCAAATTGCAAAAAGGTGTGGTGGTGTACCATTAGTGGCAAAGGTATGTAAATGTTATTTTAAAATCCTATTATAATTGAACTACTCTTTACTCTCATCAAAATTGCACACATTATATATATAATCTCTATAATATTTGCATACAAGTCATCCGATCCATTTAGTTTGGTACGTTATTAATAAAGCTCCAACTAAGCAAGTTACTAATTATTACATTTTCTCTCATATCTCTCGCATGCATTTCGCTTCATCTAAACTATTATAATAATATAATAGTTTCAAACAAGACACATTAGCTATAGAATAAAGCTTAGCCAAGTCCTCAAAGAAAACTTTGTTGTGTCTCAAAACTCGCCAACATCACATCTCATATCTCATAAAAGAGTTAGCCAAGTCCTCACCAAACTTGGCCTTTCAACAATAACTCTTCTCCTCACTCATCCACTACGCAGCCATACAAGTGTAATCCAAGTTCCTGTACTAAAATTACGAAACCTAACTGACTGCACCCATCTTCAATTTCACAAATTTTCATGAGCAGCACCACCTCAGATAAAATTCCCTCACTAACAATATTCATGAGTTAGAAAATGCATCCTCCTCAAGACAATAAATTCACCAGTCAAATTCCTCGTGGATAGTGCCTCAATACTCATGGTAGCTCTAGCTCCATATCGCCACCCACACTAATTTACTTGTTTATGATTACTTACGAATCTATGTCTGCAACGGTTGTTGCAACTCCAATCTCACCCCTCTTAGAAACAAACTTTGTCCCTCGCACATGGTCCCGTTCGTACCCTCACCATGCCAATGGGAACCAAGACTGCCAATCTTTCCAACGCTCAACGTTGAAAAATACATCCAAAATTTATCAACCATAATCTTCAATGACTAGTTCACCCTTAATTTTTGAAGGCTGTACATATCTTTTGCTTACTCAAACCAAAGTTCTGATACCATTTGTTAGCGAAAGCTTCACAGGAAACCTTTAAAAGCCCAAGCATACATATCCAAAATATGAGATTACATGGTTCATCTTAAATTTGGCTATGCCCATGGGAGATGGTGATGAATCCGCTAATGGAGCAGAAAATTACAATTAAGAAGGAAATAACCTCTTCCACCATGCAAATTTGGCTATACCTAATTGTTTATTTTGATCATTAGCAATTTTACATATACATCCTAACTAACTCATGTACCAACAGGTTTTGGGAAGCATGTTGCGTTCTAGAACTATTAATGAATGGTTGTCAATTCAAGAAAGTAAAATATGGGAATTACCCGAAGGCGAGGATAGAATCATGTCAATTTTGAAGTTGAGTTTTGATTATTTGGAATCAGCATCTTTAAAACATTGTTTTGCATATTGCTCAATATTTATGAAAGATTTTAAAATTGAAAGGGAGAACTTGGTCCAACTGTGGGCGGCCGAAGGATTGCTGCACTCTTCAAGTAATCCAGATCTAGAGATGGAAGATATAGGGAATGCATATTTTAATATTCTATTGCAAAACTCCTTTTTTCAAGATGTTATAAAGGATGAATATGGAGTTGTTATAACATGCAAGATGCACGATCTTGTGCATGATCTTGCAGAACTAGTGTCAAAATATGATAGAGAAGACAAACCTGGCATTCGACATATGGCACAGACTCCTATCACACCACAAGGAATTTCAAAAAGCAATGTTGGGAAATTGCGGTCCCTATTTTCAAATGGTGAAGGCCTTAGCAATGGCTTGTCAAGTTTTAATGCTTTACGTGTGTTGAATTTATACAAGGCTAACATTGTGGAGTTGCCAAGCTCAATTGGCAGGTTGAAACACTTGAGGTATTTGGATGTTTCTGAAACAGGAATCAAAGAACTTCCAAAATCTATTGGCAAGCTTTATAATCTGCAGACGTTAAGAATGTGTGATACATGGAATCTTGGAAGGTTTCCAAAGGAAATGGAAAATTTGATCAACTTGAGGCATGTTTATTTTGACGAGGATAAGGAAGTTCCATTTGGAATGAGACGATTGACTCATCAGCAGACATTACGTTACTTTACTTTGGATAGGGAAAGGAATCATGAAATTGGCGAGTTGGGTGGCTTAAACCAATTAAAAGGTGAACTAACTATCAGATCTTTGGAACAAGTCAGGGACAAAGATGAAGCAGAGGAATCAAATTTAGGAGGGAAATCAAATATACGAATTTTGACATTAGAGTGGGGGTCTTACAGCCCCAGAAACAACACAAAGAGTGATGTACTAGAAGGCCTCCAACCGAACCCTAAGCTAGAAATCTTAAAGATTGAAAACTTCATGGGTGTTAAATTAGCAACATGGATGATGAGTGGTTTGTTGCTACTCGATTTGAAAGAGATCCGGTTATCCAACTGCAAGGAATGTGAAGAAGTCCCATCACTCGGCCATTTACCACATCTTAGGCATGTTGAATTCCGAGGTATGGATAAGCTTAAATGTGTGGGAGTTGAGTTTTATGGTTATAACCATGTTTACGGTGGTGCAGCAGGTACGAGTACGAAAAGGATTGAGATGAGGGCGGCTTTGTTTCCATCATTGAAAACGTTAAGTTTTTATGATTGCCCAGCTCTAATTGAATGGAAGGAAGTCGATGTGATTACGCCAACAGATGAGAAAGCAGTTGTGTTTCCCTGCCTTGAGGGGTTGACTCTTTGGAAATGCAGGGAATTGAGAAATGCTCCAAATCGTTTTCCATCTCTCCAGAAGTTGTTCATACATGATAGTGACCACGTGATGCCAATAGAAAATATATGCAGTCAACTCACCACTCTCACTCACCTTAAAATTGGTAAAGCCAAAGAGCTTAGTTGTCTGCCAGTAGGGATGCTGGAAAAGAACCAGAATCTTCGGTCACTGCTTATTGGCGGTTGTGAAAAGCTTAGCCATTTACCTGATGGGCTACACACACTCTGTCTTCTTGAGATATTGGAAATAGCTGATTGCCCTAAGCTAACATGCATTTCAATTCACAGTCTCACCTCCCTTCGGGGATTGCATATTGAAAATTGTGGTGGGTCAGCGAATCTACAGATGGTTGATGAGGAGTTTTCTTTAGATGATTTGACAAGTTATGAATGCAATGGGTTGAAAAATATACTGATCAGTGGGCTACAGTCTTGTACCTCTCTACGTTGGGTACGTATCATAAATTGTCAAAATTTGAGGCATTTACCGGTGGATGGGCTACAAACCCTCGTCTCTCTTGAGGAGCTGTACATAGAGGATTGCACTAATCTAGAAGCTATTCCCAGTTTAGACAACCTCACATCCCTCCGTGAGTTGTCTATTCGTGGTTGTGATGGACTCACAAGTCTACCGAGGGGGATTCAATCCCGCACATCTCTTACAAAATTGACAATCAGTAAATGCCACAATTTGATCTCTCTGGCAGATGTCGATGTGTCCAGGTTGCAGTCTCTTTCCAATTTAGAAATAATTGATTGTCGGAAATTAAAATATTTGCCAACCGGGCTACGCTCTCTGAGTATGGAAAGGATGAAAATCGGTATGTTTTGGGAGGAGCTCGATTCTTTCCCTGATTTTGAGCTTCCATCACAAATCCGATGGTTAAAGATCTCAGGGTGGCCTAAGCTCAAATCTTTGCCTCAACAGATTCAACACTTGACTACTTGTCTACAATATTTGTCTGTAAGTTCTTTCGACAGCATAGAGGCTTTTCCAGAGTGGTTGGGTAACCTTACATCTCTTATCACCCTGCATATTAAGGAGTGTAAGAATCTGATGTATCTGCCTACCGTTGAAGTTATGCAACGCCTCACCAAATTAAGAGAACTAGACATTGATGGATGTCCCCGTCCAGCTGAAAGATGCGCCAAGGAGAGCGGCCCAGAATGGCACAAGATTTGGCACATCCCAGATATTATAGGTAATTACTATTCTCAAATCAAATCATTCATTGTTTGTTCATTTCCCTTCCCTCACTTTTCTTTCTCCCGGATTAACTACCATAGTTGACGGAGTTGACCAATTTGAAGAATCGGAATCTTCAAGTCATGATTCGACTGACTCAAATCCTCACCAAACTAGCACAGTTAGATGTTCATGTTTTTCCTCCTAATTGCTTCAACTTTCACATTAAAACACAAAGTGAGTCTACTCTTCTTCTCCAATTAATTACGTTACTCTCTGATCATCAGATTAGTCATTAAAATAGTTTTTAGAGCTTTCTTCTTAATTAATAATATTTTTTCAGAGCTTTGTACTTCGTATGTTGCTTTACTCACGACATCTATCATCATCATTTTAATTGGTATAAATTGTGTATTTTCAGAAGGCTTTTACTCGAATCGGAAGAACAAGGTGCAATAGGTGAAAACTTTATCCACGTGACCGAAATTCATGAGAATTATCCTAATAATGATTTTATACCTTCCATATGATTATAACAATTATATCACTTCCTGGTTTCGTTTGTTCCAATTCTAGCTAGAAATCATTTTCATATTGAATTATCCAAATATTAATTGCACATGCTTAGTTGAATCCTTACTTGTCTATTGATGGCATCTTACTGAATTGGAAGAAAAAGTGATGCGCAATAGGTGCAGGTACTTCAGTTCAGTTCCCTTTTCCCATGACGGTATTTAATGAAAATTACATTAATTATCATCATATCATTATAGCTTGTAAATTATTCTATATTAATATTCATTATTCTAGATAAGGATCTACTTGTAAATTAAATCTAGGTTCATATTGGTGTGCAATTTTCTGATGATGCCAATCTTATATTAGCTTGGGGGAAGGGGGCTCTTACTACAATAGAATAACAAGTGATGATGTCTGATAATTTTGATATGCCTTTCAGGTACTTAGTTTAGTTCCCTTTCCACCTCATTATGGTTAGAGCTGGCAAACGGGTCGTTTTTGCGGGTTTCGGGTCATTAATGGGTCAATCCGTTTTCTTAACGGGTTGACACGAACACGACCCGTTAAGCTAACGGGTCAGAAATACTAGACCCAAACACGACCCGCACAAATTCGCGAATAACACGACACGACCCGTTATGGCTAATGGGTCGTTTTTCACCCGCTTCACCCATTTCACCCATTTAAAAAATAAATAATATTTTTTTAACAAATTATTAAATGAAAACACCTCAAATTAGAGATATAATACAAATAAAACTGAAATTCTTAAATAAGTCTTCCACATTACACATTGGCAAACAAAAAAACTCTTAAACAATATAAGTTTCAAATTAATCTCAAGTTTTAGAACAAAAATTACAAAAATACCCTTGCTCTTAACGGGTTAACGGGTGATTCGCGAAAAATATTGACACGACCCGTTAGCTTAATGGGTGACTAACGGGTCCACCCGTTTTCAACCCGACCCATTAAGCTCAACCCAAATACTGTTATTTCGTGCAAATTCGTGTCGTGTTAACGGGTCGTGTCCGATATTTCCGGGTCTACATATGGTTATATGCCCTGAAAATATATTTCAATAAACAGCTTCAATTTTTATCATTTTGTTCACGATTTCTCTCTTCTCTCCTGTCACATTTTCATTTAGTTAATTAAGTTAGTGGCTGTTAACATCTTTCTCAACTCAGCAGTTTCTTTGGTTTGCAATATCTAAGACTTCCTAGCCTCTTGGAAGAACAAAATTAATTGCTTTAAACACAAGGATTTGCTATCACAATCTTTTTGGAATAACACTTTTGAAATTGGAGGAAAATTATGTGTGTGTTAAGTACTGCGGAAGACAAATTACTACATACAGAACAGGGGACGATAATTCAGCTCTTGCATGATTTCGTGCCAATTTTTCTCAGAAGAGAGAACTGAGGGAATTCATTTCTGTTATACCTTTTTCTGCCTCTATTGTCTCATGTCCATATTTTATCATAAATGGAACATATACAGGGAAAATTGGATTATTCTATTTGATGGTTTGACCCATATTTTTCTTTTAAGTTTTTTATTTTTCAATCATTATTCATATAAAAAGTCTACTAAATTAGAAATTGTTTAGCCGTGTTGATTCTTGACGTTTCAGTTTTATCATACAAATTACAGTTTTTGTGTTCATACTTTAGATGATCAATAAATAGAAATTTATATATATCCCAAATTTATATTTCTAGCATTAGTACTATAAACAAACTGATGTAGTACAGCCCGTAGGTATTAGATTAAGCACTTAAACAATAGAACATAGAAGAATATAAGAGACTGAGGAGAAGAAATATAGATCGAAAAGACGAGATAAAGGGCAGAAACAGTAGAACAAAGAAGAATATCGGGGATCGATGAGAAGAAATATAGATCGAAGGGACGAAATTAGAGAGTTCTAGGAAAAGGTTTACTCAACATTCAAATCTCCATTTTAAAGAACTACATGGGGGTATTTATAGCAAACTAAAACCTAGACATAATAGGATAAAAATCCCTTGCTTAAACAGAAATCCTAACCCAAATAAAAAAGGAAACTTAAAACTAGAAATCTGGAAATCTGGAAAAGTAGAAATCCTACTAGAACTTGGAAAATTAGAGAATCTAGGAAACTAATAAATTTAGGTCCTACGCGTCCTGCATCATTCTCTTCCGGCGAAAAGAACTCGACTCCGACGAGTAAACAACCACAAAAGGTAAATTAATGACAACAACGCCGACTGCAAGTATGAATAATAGGGGACGAGGGTCAGCAATCATCAATGTCCGGATCATAGACACCTTCGAGAGGCTCCACAATCTCACAAAGCTCACTAGCGGGAGTGTTGATAGTTAAAGTTCACTGCGGACAACGAGAGGCAATATGTCCTTTGGCATGGCAATGGAAACATTCAATGCGAGCATTAGTAGAAACAGCCGGTCCTTTGTTAGGTGGTGGTGCAGGCGGTTTAGATGGTCCTGAAAACCCGGTCTGCATATCCGTAGTGGGAAGAGTTTGGTTGGTGATTGCAAGTTGACCAGAATATCCTGAATGTTGTGGCGACAAATATGTCTCAGCTTCCAATGCATGACAATATGCATCTTCCAAAGTATGCGGACGGAACCGCCGGACTTCACACTTGATATCGTCACGAAGACCATGGATAAAGCGAGACATAGTGATGTCGGGTTCTTCACGAATCCCCGCACGTATCTTGTGTTCGATAAAACGAGCGTGGAATTCAGTAACGGTCGAACTGCCTTGTGAAAGGGTCCATAATTGTTCATATAATTGATGGCGATAAAAGGTGGGAAGATATTGTTCGCGAAGCTTTAATTTCATCCCGTCCCATAGAGTCACATGCGGCTGTCCAAATTGGTATAGTTGCTCCTCCACAGAATTCCAATATTGTCTAGCGGCTCCTGTAGCGTCATACTTACCAATGCGAAGTTTATGAGCATCTGTCAAGTCGTACCAGGCGAAATAATCTTCCATGGCTTGAACCCAATCAAGAAACATCGTAGGATCCCCACGACCATCAAAAGTAGGAGCGTTAGGCTTGATGTGGCGGATGACATCGTTGTCAAAACAGCCAGGGGTATGAGTGTACTGAGCATGTGGAACGGGTGGCAGGGTAGGAGCCGGAGTAGTCACTGGAGGAGGGCCCGTTGTGTGTTGGGTATAATGGAGCGGTGGCATAGTCCCAAAAGAAAAAGGGGGCTCCAATTGAGCCTTGGGCGTGTCGAGCGAGAGCCCAATTGAGCTATGCGACATGCCGTATGGCATGGCCTTGAATTTCTGATCCACCGGTGGAGTGGGCAAAAGGCCACTTTGTGGCGGTGGCGTAGACGAACACGAGAGCACCGCTGAGGTAGAAGAAGGTTCAGCGTGTCCAGCCCGAAAGTGATTGATGAGCAATTGAACGGAGTCTTGGAGTTTGGTGATGGCAAGGTCCGTCGTCGCACGATGTGTGTGAGCCTGTACCAACTCGTCTTTGAGGTCAGCACTGAGTTTGGAGAGTTGGGTTTCCATGCCAGCAATATCGTCGGAAACTTTGTCTTAGAACGCATGAAATTGTTCCCCAAGGCTGGCCACAGTTTGGGGTGCCATGGCAGAGATCAAACGCAAACGAAAGTGAGGGAAGGCTCTGATTACCAATTGATGTAATACAACCCGTAGGTATTAGATTAAGCACTTAAACAATAGAACATAGAAGAATATAAGAGACCGAGGAGAAGAAATATAGATCGAAAAGACGAGATAAAGGGCAGAAACAGTAGAACAAAGAAGAATATCGGGGATCGAGGAGAAGAAATATAGATCGAAGGGACGAAATCAGAGAGTTCTAGGAAAAGGTTTACTCAACATTCAAATCTCCATTTTAAAGAACTACATGGGGGTATTTATAGCAAACTAAAACCTAGACATAATAGGATAAAAATCCCTTGCTTAAACAGAAATCCTAACCCAAATAAAAAAGGAAACTTAAAACTAGAAATCTGGAAATCTGGAAAAGTAGAAATCCTACTAGAACTTGGAAAACTAGAGAATCTAGGAAACTAATAAATTTAGGTCCTACGCGTCCTGCATCACAAACACTATAACATGAGTTTTGGAGAAGAAAAAAAAATCCAAAATTAGCCAGCTGTCCCTTTTTTATATTTAATTGATGTGTGAAATTGTGAACATAAGCTTTTAGTCCTTAGTTTCACAAAATGGCTTTGTTTTTGTTGCTATTGTCACTGCAACATCTGGTGTCTTCTGTTTGACAATGCAGGTTTCATATACATGTAGTTTCTGGAAGTTGTTGATCTATTTTCCTCTTTCTTGTTTCTATGATTTAGGTCATGGACTCTTGCTTGGTTGCATATCACACAGAACAAAGGCCTCTGTTCCTGGAGTTTCAGGATGAACCTTCATCAATATTAGCTAGTCCTATTTAATAGCATGCGATTTACCTATGCTGTTGCAAGAATCAGGTAAAGGAATCTTCAGTTATAAGCTTTTTAGAATCATTTTCAAAGTTGAAGGTAATTTTGAACATTTCTTGCTAAGTTTGTCTTGGTTTTATATTGATCGTGCAGAGTCGAGATTGAAGAAGAAACTCATGCATGCGATGTGCCTGTCATCTAAACTCATTGTTTTGGACAAAATGGTAAGCAAATCGAGTTATACTCTTATGAGTTTTGCATCACAGGGTCAACTTGGTGCAGCTTAATTAAGACAAGCACTTCTCCTGGAGAACACTTTTCCTAGCTAATCAAGCCCTGCGTCCTGTCTCTTATAAAAAGAGATAGTTTTAAGTCCTTTTAGAAGAGTGAAAGCCATGGCCACAATTTAGAGAGATCTAGTGAGTTTTTGATGTATTTGGGGAGAAATGGGATGAAAGAAGACAGATTAATTTAGTTTGGTTGCGAGAACCTACTTGTTCTTTTTTGTCATATTCTTGTGCACTTTTGATTTAGTGAATTGTCATTGGCATTGCCCGTGGATGTAGCCCAATTTTAGGTCAACCACGTTAAATATGGTGTTTCTTTCTCTGTTTATATTTCAGTTCATCGTTCTCCTCCTATCATTACTTTTCCTGTGTTTGGTTTGTGGTGTAGGACTAGAGAGTTAAATGTGGCAAATTCCTTACTCTGCTTTGGGTTGACACATCAAATGCGTAGTTGCATTGGCGGGTTTTCAGAATCATAGAGGTGATTTACCATGCCCCAGTGAAGGGCTCCCAAAAATTACTCATATCGATCTTCCATCCAGGTCCAAAACTATCAAATAGCTCATCATGTATATATACATATAGTGCTGTGAGTCTCCATTTGGTTGCATTGGAGTTTGATTTGAAAACCTTTCTTGTAATAACAGAGGTACTTTGTGAGAGAAGAGTTATTCATGTTCGTTGATCTTTGTTCCCCATCGGTTTGCACTTTGCGTTATTAATCCAATGATTTCTTGGATATGGTAGTTAATGTCAAGCAAATATAAGCAAATTTTCTCACAGTTATAAGCAAATATATAATAATAAATAAATAAATAACACACACTAGGAAGGGCTGCAACTGATAAAAAATGAGTTGGAATGAGAAAAGCATAAACATGCGTTTATTAAAAAGCGTTAACATCCATCTTGTAATGCTGTATGTTGCTTCAATTTGGATCAAAATCTACTTTTGATTATAAAAAAATATGATTTAAAAATAAAGCCCAAACGTTTAAAATGAACCCATGAACTGCAAAGCGAACTCAGCTGAAACAAAGAGCAGTCTAAAACACAAGAGTGAACAAAATAGAGAGACATATATGTCCCTCATCTGACCATATTCTGGCGTCACAAGGGTCGTCACATTAGGCCCCTCACCCGATGTCAAATGTGACGACTTTAACTCAGTGTCACATATAGTACACTGTGACGATGTATGAATTTGTCACTGTTTACAATATGTGACTTCTCGTGTTTTGTCACATTGTTTCTTTTGTGACATTTAACAATATGTCACCTAATTCATTTTTTGATGACTGGCAGGTGGTCACATGGTATCTATTATGACGACAGACAAGTTGTCACAACGTTCAATTTATGATGCTTTATAAATTGTCACTTTGTTTAAAATATGACATAACAAATCGTCATATTGTATAATTTGTTATGCCAAAAATACTCATCACAATTGATAATATTTTATGATGCTTTATAAATTGTCACTTTGTTTAAAATATGACATAACAAATCGTCATATTGTATAATTTGTTATGCCAAAAAAACTCATCACAATTGATAATACGTGTGAATGATTTCATGACAATGATCCTAATAAATGTAATACTCTGCATCAAGAATATAGAAGCTTCATATCATAGATGAAAAATATCCAAAATAGCGTATCCAAGTTTATCGTATATCCAAGGTTCTAAACACACTTAATATCCAAAATAACATAATGTAAACATGTAAATCTCATCCTAGGTTTATTAAATTAAAAAAATAATAGAAAAACAAATTAGAAATTGTACATCCACTAGAACGATACAACTATATACAATAATTTAAAATACAACCATATACTTAAATGTATGAATACATTTAAAATTATTACATATTTACTAGACCCTAGTGTCATTAAAAATTTATCATACATGGATGGCTCTTTATAAACCTTCAATCACCATTGGCGTCCCTGATTCCCATGCTACAACAGCTACATAAACAAACAAAAACAAAACCCTTTACTCAATAAATCTCAGAAACAATAAAAGAAACAGCAAGCAATTATCCTATCAAAATAGACAAGTCATCATATTCTAACTGCAAAATTGACACTGTAAGTGCTGTTATTAAATTAATAACCAAAAACAGAGAAACCAGTGCAACTAAATAATGAAATACAAGTCTCATATAATAACAGTCACATGAAAGTATATGTGAAAAGGATACAAGAGCACAATTGCATATTTTACTATGATACGTTAATGTTTCTGGTATTATGATAAAGTAGGTAGATGTGTGTAAAAATGAAGTTTACCTTGATCGGAGTCTTCCATCTTCTGGCTCCTATACATTTAATCAAAGCTAGAAAAAAAAGAACATAAATCAGATATATGAATCTGATGGATTTATATATTTTCGGTCATGGTATTGATTTTATATAGTACAAGTAGGAAAAATATGTGTGTAGACCATGAAATCTAGATCAAATTAATTACTTGAAGATTACTCTTGACGTGAGCTATGCTAAGATCCTTGACATTCATCAATTGAACCACCAACTTATGTCTTGACATGAGCTTTTAGGAAACTGTTGTTGCTCCTGCACCATCAGAGAAACTAACACAGTTTCAGCTACTGTGTATTAAACTTTGAACTCAGAATTAAACATCCTAAACTCAATAAAAATCTGCCAATTTACATGCATCCTGAAGTTGATTAAATAAACTTTGAAACCATATAAAATTTGATAGAAACGGTGCTCTAATTTTTAAGATAAGGCAGTCCAAATTAAGTGTTTCAAAACTGAAACTGCAGCCCCTGTTTTTGACAGATTTTGTAGTCATACTTACCAAGGCATCAAACTTCAACCAAATTACAATCCTGGATATGTATGGTTTAAAATCAAGTAATTATACCTCAAAACTAACCCACAACCTGTGCAAAATTAACAGTCAACATGGGTAACACAATCACATTTTCTGAAAAAACAGAAACTTAACAACTTCTGCCTCAAAACACTTCTGAACAATCTTAAAAACAAGTATATAATCTTGCATGAATAATTAACATAAATCTTGTATTGGGTCTGTCAATTTGTCAATCCCTTTTTGTAATAGATGCTTATAACTTATGTTGTATTAGGAAGAAAGTAAATCAAACCTCTAGCTAGTCTTGTGAAGAGAAACTTCAGAGGCTCTCCCACTCCAATACCATCCCAATTGGATAGCTTCCCTTCAATTTCAAACGCAAATTAGTCAATTCAATGGCTATACCAAAAGGAGAAAATTAATCACAATCACCACCATTTCCTAACCAAAGAAACATAACTAAATGCAAGTGGAAATTAAGTATACTTACATGTACCAAAGGAACTTTAATTGGAGAAAATGGGTGAAGTGGGTGGCTGAGATTAAAGACAAATCTCTAAGCAGAAAAATAAATAAAACAAAATTAAAATTCAAGTAGGGAAAAAAAAAAGTGCATCAGGAGCTGACTTTCACCTCTCTCCCACCATCCTCCACCCAGCTTTTTCTACAACTTCAACGAATCACATGGCTTCTCTTCTAAAAACAAACCAAAGCACCATTAGATTCTGCAAAATTTAAATAATAACAAATCTAAATCTAAACTTTTGAAAGAATTTGAAACTTTGTAATATCTGCTAGCACGTTAATTGAAATAATTGAAAGAATTTGGAGCTTCATACCCAATGAGGTTCCATTAAATTTAGTAAAACCAACCTGAGAGTGCAGCCGTGAGGTTCCGCAAAGCTAAACTGAAAGAATGTTTTGATAAAATCGGGAAAATAAAAGAGCGATAGAGAGAGTTAGGGTTACCTTGAGATTGCAGTCGTGAGAGGGTTTGGGAACCAAGAGGATTTCTATATGAGAAAGAATCATAAAGGGTTTCGAGTTGGAGAGAATCGGAGGGATTGGGGTCAGATAGAGCCGGAGAGGGTTTTGGGTTAGAGAGAGAGAGAGAGAGAGAGAGAGAGAGTGAAATCTGGGGAAGAAGAAAATAATGCGATATGGAAAATTGGGGGGAAGAGTATTCTAAGATGAAATCCTCACCTTGTCTGCAAATTAATGGTCAAACATAAATTAAAAAGTTGAAAACCTGCACAGACCACAGCACAAAATTAAAACATAAAACATAACCCTTTTAAATGAATAAGTGAGGCCAGATCCTCACATGTGCGAATATGTGATGACAACTAACCCTAAAATATAATTTTTATTTTGGGGCGGGAAAATTTTTCGCTCATTCCTTTTAATTTTTAATTTTTTTGGATAGATATTCCCGCACTAAAAATTTATGACGACTTAAAATATTATATGTGACTCCACAAGCCTCACAAATAATTGTTGGTCTCTCCCGCCCAAAACCGCCAGACTATTTGTGAGGGATTTGGCCTTCCTCCAAAATTGTAGATGTCTTTGTTGTCTTATGAGTGACGACTTGATAAATTCGTCACCAATACCTGTTATATGTGACGAATTTACAAGCCTCACTTTTTATTTGGTCACATTAGCCTTTTTTTCTTGTAGTGTGAGTAGAAGTAAGATTTGGGGGTTGCTATTGAGAAACAACGGAAGAGAGAGATACATGTACAGAGACAGTTCAGGAGAAAGTTGCATTTAAGTTGCTAACTTGCTCACCAAGTCGTCGGATTTCCTATTTACATTAGGTAGTGTTTTGGGATTTTAGTTTCTTATTACTTCAGTCTAATTGTAACCCAAGTTATAAATAGGACTTTAGAGGGTAGTGTGGAAAACATAACGATGGTGATGTGCTGAGGAAGCAAGATTGTGGCTGTTGATTTCTAAAAGTAATCCTCTCAATAAGCCTTGGTTGTTCGTTACCTCCCTCAGTTATTCTGATTTTCCCAAATCTTCCAACTGTCACCCTAGTTTTTAATGTAATACGTATGCTCTGTTTCATGTGATTGAGGGAATATGATTTTATCATGTAAAAGTTGAAGCATCTAGACGGTGGTGGAAGTGAATGGACTTTCCCCTCCCTGGGATGAGGCTATCCTGATAATGTGTGTGATTAATCCCAAAGAAAAAGTAAGATCCATTCTTTTCTTTACAGCTTGGTTTGGTGCTGATCTCTGTCTTGTTAAAGTTGAAAGCTGAAATTATTAACCTTCTAAATAATTAAAGTGTTCTTTAAGTAGAGTGTTCTTTACCTTCCATTTGGATGGAGGAAAATAACTCGGGATTTAGCTAAAAATCGGGAATTGAAATGGGATGAGGGGAGAGATTAATTTAGTTTCACTGCGGGAGAACCTATTTGTTCTTTTTTGTCATATTCTTGTACTCTTTTGATTAAGTGAATTATCATTAGCACTGCCCATTTTGGGTGAACCCCTTAAATATGATACTTATTTCCATGTATTTGCTTGAGATATGGCAGCTGAGTTTGTGCTTACTTTTGCTGCCGAGGGAATACTTACCAAGGTAGCTGCACTTGCCACTGAACAATTCAGTCTTGCTTGGGGATTCAAAGGAGAATTGGCCAGGCTCGGGGATTCATTATCCCTCATGCAAAACATCTTACGTGATGCTGCTGAGCAACCAACAGATCGGGGCCACTCCATCAAAGCTTGGGCGAAGAAAGTGTTAGAAATATGCTCTTAAAGCCAACTAATTATGTAATAGTTAGAGTTAAGGACATCTTTAATAAAAGACATATTATGTTATCAATGGGCAAGAAAGGTTGTTTTATACATTAAATCATCTTATATTATCTTTCAATATGTAGAACAACCATAGCTCAAGGAATACACAAAGTGGATATGAGAGCTATGTAATGAGATTGCATACATGGAGACTTCTCATCATCCTTAATTCCTGAATATATTCCTGGTCATAACAATATTGATTGGGCGTCAATATTCCGCAAAGATTGATATAACCATTATTTCGTACATTTTTTTATTTATCTTTCTCTTAGATTCTTGCTATGTTCTTGAGTGAGTTTAGTCCATTTTTACTTAGTTTTGTGTTTTGCTAGGTTTGAAGAGTAAAGATGGAAAAGCAAGCAAAAAGAGCAATTTTGGGATTGAAAAATGATGTGTGCAATCCTGGGAGCAGAATGTGCTGTGCAGAACAGTCAACTTGACAGAATATACTGTACTTCCTCAGAGCGAACCAGCTGTTGAGCCTTATATCTTTAGAAAGATACGGATGTTAGCTTTCTGTAGAATTTTACAGTTTGTGATTCGGACTTGTGTGGAGAGAGTAGTGGCCATTTTAGTATAGACAGTTCGGCAGAATGTGTTCTGCGGGTTTGGCAAAATAATCCTTTTGAAGTTCAATCATTGGAGTTTAATTTGTGTCAATTACATTTGGGAAGTTTCTACAAGGATGCAAGGTTATTTTCTAAGGTTTGATCCTATATTTAGTAGGATTTTGGATGCCAACTCATCAAAGACAATTGAAGCCAAACTAGGAAAGCATAGTTACCAAGTCAAAAGAGGATTTGTTCCATATTTAAAGAAGACCAAAAAATAAGGTTCTCTTATGCTGGAGTTGAAGGAGAGTCAAAGAGCCACTGCCATCGTCAAGTTCTTGAGCATCATCACAATCCATAAGTTTTATTTTATGTTTTCTAGTTTTTCAATTATGTTTTCTTTGAACATGAGTAACTAAATTATACTCTAGGGCGAAGATGACACCCGAGCATGGATAGTTATAATTTCTAATGTTATTTAATGGATTTTAAGTTTCTTTTAGATGAATGTTTAATCACTATTTTAAATGTTGCTATTTGTTTAAGTTTTTTTATTGATCACCTTAGGGCTTTGCATCTAGTAAATTGGAAGATGAATTAGAGGCAGAACTCGCAATATAATTCAATTAGCTTCTTCTTGTGATTAAGTGTGGTGAATTACATTATTGCTTGACGAAGAATAATGGTTTGCTTGGTTATCTTGTTTTCTAGAACGTAATGAATCCAACTTGTTAAATTTATGCCTTAACCAGGATAGATTGTAGGATTGGGTATATGATCTTTGTCTGAACTAGAAAAGAATCTTACACTTATGGAAAACTATGGTCTGAGTGCTTGAAAAGAACTTAGATACGGGAAATATCATCTACCCTCCGTTTGGATGAGGGAAAATAACTCGGAATTTAGCTAAAAGTCGGGAATTTAAGAGGAGAAATTGACAATTCCCTTGTCTGGCAACTTAAGCGCGGAATTTATTAAATGACGCGCGGAAAAAATTGTGGAAATTGAGGCATCAAATTCCCGAGTTTAATTTCCACCAAAATAGGCTTCATTTCACAATTTCCATAGTGCGGGAATTCATATTTTCCAGTGTGCCAAAACTTACATAAAAAAAAAAACCGCAAAACTTTTCATTAAATAAAAAAAAAAGTACACATCTCTCTGGATCAAATTTGAAGGTTAGTCCTCAAGCCTTTCTCTCCTTCAATTTATGTTTTTCTATTTCAGGGTTACCACGGTTTCTAAATGGCTATCAAAATTGGGTGTTTCTGACTAAATTTATGAATATGTGTTGAATGGGTTTTGTGATCTTTGCGGCACTATGGCTGGATTTTGGGAAGTTTTAACAAAATATTCTATGCCCATGGATATTGGTGTGTGATTTGTGTTTATGGTACAGCTCTGTAGTTGTTTGCTAGCTTTATCGCTTTATGTTATCGCCTTGTTCAAGTTTTACCCTTCGTTTCCTTACTCTGAAGAAAAAGCCTATGTTGCTGAAAAGCTTTTCATATACTCTGTAAGGAAACGAAAAGCTTTGTTGATTGTTATATGCTGCTAAAAATCGATTTTGGTCTTCTCCCATTCTTATTTGACTTTGATTATTTGTTTGGTAGTCTCATGACGATACTAGAGGTTTTCGATTTAAAGTTATAAAAAATTAGGATGATATAGTAGATTTGTGTGGCAAAGATAGAGCCACTGGAGAGGGCGCTGATATTTCATGTTATTGATGATATTTCACTAACCTCAACAAATGGTCAAAAGGGAAGAAATAGTGCATCAAATTCTTCTGATATTCTTCCTACATATAAAAGAGGTGATGTCAAAGATGTTATTGCTGATTCGATTGCTAGAAAGGCTTTATCATTTGAAGAGTTTATCTGTGCTGATACTAAGAACCTTGATCCAATGGAACAACTCAAAGCATGTGCTTGGCTGATTGAAAATGACAAACAATTTCAGATGTTGAAGGCACTCCCAATTAAGAAAAAAGAGAGTATGTTATTGATGTTTATTGCACGTGGGGAGTGATTTGGGTTGCTAATATGCTCTGTTTGTTTAAGTTGAGTTATTTAGTTCATCAAACGATATATATGTTATTTTATATTTCGAGGAATACCTTCTATGTTGGTTATCAGTTGTTTTGTTCTTTCGAAATATTTAATTTCTGTCATTTACAATTTAAATGAGCTATCCAAACATTGAAATTTTCAATTTCTATCAATTACAAAATTCGACATACATAAATCCAAACGCTGAAATCTTCAATTGCCAGAAATTGAAATGACGGAAATCTAAATTCTGTCATTTTAGAATTCTACGTAATTTGCAATTTCTTCATCCAAACGGAGCACTAAAGAATCGAAAGAATCTGTTGAATGCATTAAAATCTACCTTGGATTGCTTGTGGTTGATTTCGAAACCCTAGACCTTCATCATTGTTTTTCAACCTTAAAATTCAACTTTTTTATTCTCAATTGTTTTTATTAATTTCTTGTTTGTTTCATAAACTTTCACAACAATAATCTCCACAAATTCACTTGCATATCAATTAAATTTAATTTAGGTATTTGAATCCACCTCAGGGAAGAAAATAAATTTGGAAGATGCACTTACTCAATTGACTATGTCTACCACCCAATTTATGACTGAAAGAAAAACCCAATTTCAGAATCAACATGCTTCTATTCAGAATTTGGAGGTGCAAGTAGGCCAACTAGCTAATATATTGAGTGGAAGAAATCAAGGAGTATTGCCAAGCCAACCCGAAATTAATCCGAAAAATCAAGAACAAGTAATGGCAATCACACTTCAGGAGAGGGTAAATACATTGGTCGACTTGGAAAAAGAAAAATTAGAAAAAGAGGAAGAAGCTGAGAAATCCCAAGAAGAAGAAAATTATGTTGTTATGCTGACCCCTTCTCCTCCATTGAAGCCATATGTCTCACCGATCCCTTTTCCGCAGAGGGTAAAGAAAAATTAAATTGATGGGCAATCCTCTAATTTCTTGGAGACGTTCAAAAAGGTGCAAATGAACATTCCACTTTGCTGCAGCTTTGGAACAAATGCCAAGTTATTTAAAATTCATGAAAGACATCCTCTCCAAGAAAAGGAAATTTGGTGATCATGAGAAAATCCAACTGACTAAAGAATGCAGTGTCATCCTGCAACGGAAGCTTCCACCAAAGAAAAAAGATAGAGGGAGTTTTAAAATTCCATGCACTATTGGAAATAATTTCTTTGAAAAAGCTTTATGTGGTTTGGGTTCTAGCATTAATTTACTACATTTATCTGTTGCTAAAAAGATTGTTATTGGCAAAATTAAACCAACTACTGTTTCTTTGCAGATGGCGGACAAATCAATCACATATCCTAATGGAATTGTTGAAGATGTTCTAGTAAAAGTCGATACACTCATATTTCCGGCTGATTTTCTGGCTTTGGATATGAAAAAAGATTCTGAGACACAGCTAATTTTGGGCCTTTATTAATAGGAAGAATTTAATTGTGGAATTTAATTCGTATATCATCTCTAAGGAGTTGAATCAACCCACTACCTTGCTAAAGGGAACCTATGGATCTGCACACGCAAAGAATGTGATTAGAGGTACAAATAAGGAGATATGAAATGAGGAGACACAAGTCAATGGTTGATAATCAGATGTCAAAGTCAACAGTCCAAAGTCAACATGTTGACCGGAGCAATTGACGAAAGTCATATAGTTCGACCGGGTCAATTAAGTAAGACTATAATTATAATTTAATAGTTAAATTATAATTAAAAGATTAATTACGGAATTAATATTGACATATAGAAATATTGGATTGGGATTTTAAATATGATTTAAAAAGAAATGGACAAAATAGCCCAAAAGGCTATTGGGCCCAAGGAATAAGTAGCATAAGATGACATGAACCATGGAACAAATGGAGCCCCAAATACCCACCCAATTGCCTTTTGTGTTGTCCTATATAAGCTAAGTGTTGGAGAAAACCTAGCTATTTTAGTTTCCTACTTTGGTTGATGAGTGATCAACTTTGTATCTCATCTTCCTCTTGGAGCATTTGGCGTGGTGAGATAGAGGACTCCAATCTTGGAGCCTTAAGGTGAAGGAGTCAAAATCAAGAGAAACAAAAGGCCTTTCCAACAAAGGTGTTCATTCTATTTGTGTTCAAAGAGACTAGGCTAAGATATTTGGTTTAAAATGAAAAAGGTTTAGCTCAACTAGTATAAACAAAATGAATCTGCCATTTAGAATTGTTGTATAGGTTGTGGCCAAAATTCATTTCCTAAGCATTGGATGCATGTTTCCTTCAGAAAGTTAAAGACATAGCACAAGATGTTGATGATGTGCTGGATGAATTCAAGTATGAAATTCTTCAACGTAAACTGGAGCTGCAAAACCACATGAAGAAAAAGTTACTCAACTTCTTTTCAATCTCCAATCCCATTGCTTTTCGCCTTAAAATGGCACAGAAAATTAAGAACATCAACCAACTTTTGGCGGATCTCAAAACTGAGGCATCTTTGATTACGTACTGCATTCACTCCTTCCAAAGAACAAATTGGAGATATCTTTACCAAGGCATTGGGCAAGGAAGCTTTCCTATGATTAAAGAGCAAGTTGAATCTTTTGGACATACATGCTCCAACTTGAGGGAGAGTGTTAGAAATCAAGCCTTAATTGGAGGATGACTTTTGATTGAAGGTTACCTTGTATAGCTGATTTACTTGGACGTCACTTCTTTTCCTTTTTTATGTAATTGCCTTAGACATAGGATTTAGAGATTATTTCCTTATTGTAAATCTTTAGGATTGTTATATATTTGTACACTTTGTACAATGTTGAATACAGAAAACATTCACCATATTTTCTTATATTTAGGACTCAAATTTAGTCCACAAACTTAATATCTCTAACAAAACACATAACCTACATATTTTTTTAAATACTTATGAACTTATATATGTTGGTGAGTCCTTACTTAGTTAGGATTTTGGTTCCTTACTTAGTTAGGTTTTTTGTTACTTACCAGTTTATTTAGTCCTGTTGTAATCGATATTTATTTCCTATAGTAGTTTGGATTTATTTCCTATGTTATTTAGGGTTAATATACATCTTTGTACTTCTTTCTAAATATCTCCATATTGAAGAAGAATAAAATATGAGCATATCTGACAAATATGAGCATAACTGAATATTTGCCCTGCTTTGTTTGACATGGTATCAGAGCCCAGGTTCTCTTATGACATGGGGCTTGCATTCTCCTTCCAATTTACGTGCTCTCATCCCCTCCTGTTCAAAGGAGGAGGAGAGGGGGACGAAGATATTGCCTATTTCTTGGCTTTCCTCTGAATTAGGAGGAATTCTTTTTTGTCATTCCTTTGTGATTGCCGATGTTTTTGCTGTGTTTCGATCCATCCCTACAACATAAAAAAATTGTAACCCTAAACAATACCAATTTCCCCCCTGCCACTATATCTACCTTGCTACTACTGTCGTTGGTGCCATCCGCCTTTATTTATTTACCTGCTTCTGGTTCTACTTCACCTACTGCTTCTCTTACCCCTATTGTGATGGTTCATACTAAATCTTCCACCAACCTACCCTTGGGATCCAAATTGAATGGATCCAACCGTGTGATTTGGGATTCGATGATCGAACTCTACACTACTTCACAAGGAAAATTAGGTTACCTAACTAGTGACCCTAATGCCCCAGATTCCGAAGATCCACAATTTGGAAAGTGGAAAATTGATGATGCTATATGGAACCTAGTTTGTTGAATATGTTTCATACTTACTTACTGTCTGTCGTGTTCACAAGGTTTCTGTGTTCTGCCGTGCTCATAGGGTTTTTATGTTCTGCCGTGCTCATAGGGTTTCTGTGTTCTGTATGTGCCCAATTTTTTATGGTTTGCTCTTGTGTTTCTATTGCGAACTTTGCTTTGGTTTGTCAGTTGTTTCACTCGTGATTGACCCTTCTCTACAAGTTGGTCAATTGGTCAATGTCGAGTATGGTGTTCTATGACTCACTTGTCAAGTTGGGTATGCAAAACATCTTTGCCTTAACTTGAGGGGGAGTGTTGGCGAGTCCTTACTTAGTTAGGATTTTGGTTCCTTACTTAGTTAGGTTTTTTGTTACTTACCAGTTTATTTAGTCCTATTGTAATTGAGATTTATTTCCTATAGTAGTTTGGATTTATTTCCTACATTATTTTAGGGTTAATACATCTTTGTACTTCTTTATAAATACCTCCATATTGGAGAAAAATAAAAGGATGAGCATATCTGGCAAATATGAGCATAATTAAATATTTACCCTGCATTGTTTAACAATATATACAAGGCGAAAAACGAAGACAAAGACGAGAATCACAATCCCATCTCCTCTCCATTAAGGTAAGACCTGCGGAGATAGCGTAGGGAAAAATTATCACCCCTAGCAGTTATTCGAATTTGACTTGACTTTATATAATAAATAGTAGAGATTTTAGAGAATGCGTTAAAACATTTGTGACACTACATGACATTGTGACTGATTAAAAATAAAAATAAAAATAAAAATAAAAATAAACTCATTTTACTAATACAAAGTCAACCCATTTGTGACATTTCATGACATTGTGAGTGACACTGAAAAAACCCTCATTTTACTAATACAAAATTAAGTCAGTTCACCAAGAATAATAATAATAAGAATGACAATGAGTCTCATAATTGCTTAATGATGAAAATGAAAAATATATAAAAACATTGAAAAATGTTTTGGAATTAATTACAGACAAAGAAAGAAAGAAAGAAAAAGGAAAGAAACAGACCAACCCAACCCCATATTTGTTAGTCGTTGTGAGAGGAGCATATTTGATAATCCAACAAGAAGAGCAACCGTTGCAGTAGTGATGATGAAGCAACAGAAGTAATTTGCTCGTCTCTCTCTCTCTCTCTCTCTCTCTCTCTCTCTCTCTCAACTTTTTCATCATATCGTCCCTTACCACTTTCCCTTGCATTACAAGCAAAGTTCCTATCTAAAACACTAGCCATTCCTACTTTATACTTTCTCCTTTCATTCACAATAGCTGGTAATAATATTCAACAATGGGAATCTGTTTCGGGAAGCGGAAGAAATCGACTGCGGAGATAGTGCCGCAAAACCAGCCGACAACAACCGTCCGATTGTACGGTTCCCCTAGAAGCACCGCCTACATCCGAGTCGCCCTCAAATACAAGGCGGCAGCCGTCTCGCTCCGCTGCGTGGTCGCCGACACATGCGGCGGTGACGACCACAACGCGAATGAAAATTTGGTTGCAGCCGTGGAGGTGGCCGGTTCATCATCACCCCAGACGGAGAGGGTTTCAGGGCCTCCCAGCACTCTGCTGCAGTTCATAGACACCAGATTCCCACACCCGCCGCTTCTTCTTCAAATCGGCTCCGCCGAAACGACGTCGTTAGTGGCGGCGGTGGTTAAGCTGACTGAGCTGCAACATAGGAGCATGACGTGGCACTTGGAGAGGTTGGTGAGGTGGACGACGGATCTGGTGACACGTCAGAATAAACGCGGAGGAAGAGGAGGAGAGATTGATCCGACGGTGGGGACTGCGCGGATGGAGGTGAGGAAGTTGGGGAGGAGCTACACCCAGCTGTTGGAGCTGATGTTGGAACACGCTCAGATGGAGGAGAGGCTCCTCTTCCCTATCTTCAACTTCGCTGATCCAAGTACCTCACATACCCTTTAATTCTAATTAAATTTTTTTTTCTATCTTGGGATGAATAAAATCTTTTTAAAGATAATTATTCCCTTTTATATCTTTTATCTCTTTTGTTTTAGCTCTGTATATTAGTTTTTAAGACTTTCCAATTGAGAGCGATTTTCACACCAATCTTGCAATTTTTAGGGGTGTAGTTAATTAATATTGTAGACGATTAATTTCTAACGACCTTTTTTAGGTGACAGCAGATTTCATGAATTTGAATAGATTTTTTGTAGGGACTTTTGGAGATCTATATAGACTTTTATTACAGTGTATTTGGATGAGAAAATTTAAAAGGGTAAAGGAATTCATAAATGATGAAATTTAAAATGACGAAAATTAATGTTATAGAATTTGTAAAATTTCTTATTTGAATAACGGATTTAAATAAAGAATTTAGCCTTTATTTGTAAAGTTATCTTTTTTTTTTTATAACTCAATTTCTCTTGGAATTCTAAAAATGACGACTTTTAGATAGAATTTAAAATTTGGATTTCTGACATCCAAATTCCATGGTTTTTCCCACGCTAAATTTCTAAGTTTCTATGTTTTTTTTTATCCAAACAAGGGAATTGGTTCATGTCAATTTAGAAATTCTGACTTTTGTCAAAATTCCAAGTTTATTTCCCTCATCCAAATGCATGGTTACAGATTTTAGTAGATTTTTATAAACTTATTATTATAATTTCTTCTACATATTTCATTTGTTAGTGTGACAGTGACTTGGTCAAAAGTATGTTCGTTTGTTCTTTTATTGTTATTAGGATTGAGATGTAAAATTGTGGAGTGATGCTATAGATTCGTAGAGTATTATACAATTTTCAGTTGAAGTAGATGTGGTTACTTAATTATGTGAAAAATTACTAGACGGGATTAACGAGTTATCTATATTAGGAGTTGAGTACAATATGATTCACATGATACCACTTAATTGCTACGTCAATTTGTAAAAGTTTTATTATCACTAAACTAAAATTTTAGCTACTGTAAAAAAAAATTATATAAAAAAACTAACAGAACATTTTAATTTAATGGTTTTGTGTTTGTGAGGTTGAAAAAAGCTTCCTAGAGGAATAAGTTGCTTAAGTTGTTTTTTAAATCAACTAAGATGGGTAGCTGAACTTATGACTTTTCTCAACATTAAGAAGAGAAATATACTAAATCAACAACTAATTAGTATAAGTTGCTTCTTTATGAAAGAACAAAACCGTAGACTTGTCGATTTTATCCGGTTAGTCAAGACCCTTCACCAAAATATCAAATTAACTAATCTAAAGGCTAGATGGTGAAGGAAATCTAAGAGGGACTTGAAGGATTAGGGACCTGCCCCCCCCCAACATTATTTTTTATCTCTCCTATATTATGTTATATATAATATATAGAACTAGTAAAACAACTTATAATTTGAGTTAAAATATTTAGCTATATGTAATGATTGAATACTTATGTGTTTTATATACTTGTATTTTCAATTTCGACCCCCCAATTTTACAATTCTAGCTCCGCACCTGTCTCTATCCCTTTGTCACTATGAAAGAATGAACATGAGATATATGTTCATTGAGGATAATGTGATGATGATGATGATGCAGGAATATGTAAAGCTGCAAATGAGGAACATGCAAGGGACCTACCCATCATGAATGGCATCAAAGAAGATATCAAATCCATTGAGGTTATAGACAATGGGAGCCCTGCCTACCAAGAAGCTCTTTCCAACTTTTCTAAGCGCCTTAAATCATTACAGGTGATGTCAACATATAATGGCACACTGCATATGCCACAAGACTGCTTCTAGTCTACTTTATGCATACAACATATAATGGCTACGTATGCCACAAAGACAAGCATTCTATAATAAAGTTTATATTTCTCGTGATGCACATTCACTACAAAAAGCAACATTAATAACCACTCACGTGATATCAATAGCAATAAGATGAGGTGGCTGAAAGCACTATTCGTGTCTAATAGTATAATGGGCACGAATAAACGTGATTGTTAGCTAAACCTTAATAGTGCTTTTAGCCACTTAATCATGTCATTGATTATTAATTAACTTTCCTTGTAGTGATCATATGCTTGTGTGGCCTTTTTTTACTCTAAGTTTTTTCTATGATCTTGAGCTAAATTGTATTATTTGGAGTTACCAACAGGAGCGTTACAGACAACACTTTCAGGAGGAGGAGAGAGAATTATTACCCTATATGGAGGCAGCTGAGCTGAACAAAGAGCAGCAACAAAGATTATTGGACGAGTGTGTGGATGTGATGCAAGAATCACACTCACATAATTTGTTCATCTTTCTTCTTCAAGGGCTTCTCCCTCATGAAGCCATGCGCTACTTGGACTTGATCTCCATGTGCAGCAACAAAGAACGGACAGCTTCTATGCTTCAAATGATAATTGAGTAAGATCCGATTCCAGTTGTTGGTTTGTATGTGTCGACTTTGATATGCAGAGATTAGTGACTGCGTTTCTCATGTCACTAGGAACTACTCATAAAGTAGATAATGTCAGAACAATGTAGTTTCCAAAGGCTTTTTCTTTTCATTGATGACTCAAGATTTTCTCTGTGCCCTGTTTCTCTCCCATATATGTTATGTGTTGACACCTGTCCATAAAAGGCATAGAAGTGATCGAACCTCGAAGATTGAAGCAATAGAAGACTCAAAATTTGAGTCCGAATACAAAGAAATCAACGGAGGTATTGAATCCTTTGGAAACCAAGGGTTGTGTAATTATTTTGAATAGTAAATGTTGTGTGTTAAACTGAAGGTGTGGCGTTCCTTTTATACTGATTTTGCCCTACTTTAATTTGGATCCCATCCTGTTGAAAATAGGAGAATCAAATCAAATCCTTATACTATTGCCCCTAAGTAATTTTGATGCGGTTTCAGCTATGGAGCTGCGAAGTGGGGCCAGTTCGTGGGCTGGAGCGGTACCCACTGCCCCGTGGCTGTGAGATGGAACCGTGGTCTCAGCGGTGGTGTGCCGCGGTTGGTTCAACGTCGGGCCATTGTGGTGGCCTAAGCCCATCGCGGATTGCGTGGTCGTGTCAATCCTGCTTCTCGTGCGCTTGCTTCCAACCATGATTGTTCAGAAGGCTTTGGTTGAGTGATGAATGGAAGGAAATGGATTCCTTATATTTGAGAGCAGCGCTTTGATTATATTTCGTTGCTCTCAATGAAAGCACCAAAATGTTTGTGCAAATATTTACACTGGGGATTATTCGCGGATTGATTCCTTCACACTTTGAACTTCCTTCTTCTTCTTCTTCTTCCTCCCTTCCTGTAAAATAAACTGAGTCAACGGACCACACCTAGGGGGTGTTGGCTAAAGGCCCTTTGATGCCCAACTCAGTTAAATGATCTTGAAAAATATATGAAGATAACTGAAAGGATGGAGGTCTTCTCTCACGAGGAGAGCCGGGTGACCTGAGCCATGTGAGGGAGAGAGAGAAGGTGGGGGAGAGAGAGAGAGAGAGAGAGAGAGAGAGAGAGAGAGAGAGAGAGTTGCTAGGGATTTTGGAATTGAGTTTAGGATGACCTCATATGTGTTGTATAGCCATGTATTTATAGAGCTCTTGCCTTCTAGGGTTTTTCAGAGAATAATTCTATACAATTGGAGAGATGGGATCCATGAGGGAGATTTAATGAAAATCAAATCCCGAATTTATGTAAATATCCTTATTTTAAGTCTAAACAATTGGCCAATTAAATGGAGCACAATTGTTGACCTAATGAATATTCCCATTGTCCACATGGTGCCTCATGATTAGTTGCCGAAATATGCGTTCCCACATATGTATATACATGTTTATATGTATATTATAATAACATTATATATATTATAAATAATATAAACATATATATGTATATACATATATACATATATTACATATATTATATACATACATAATATATATATATTTCTTTCAGTTTTCAAAGTTCTCTCAGAGTTATAGACCTGAGGCAACTACAATAGTTGTGAGTGAGAGTGGAGTGTGAGTGTCCTGTGTGGCATTGCTTGCTTTCACTGAACTAAGATTTCTGTAAGTTTTTACTTTGTTTGTCAAAGCTTCCTCAGTTAATAATATTTCCAATTAATATTATTTTCTGAGTTATTTTTATATTATTTTCTGAGTTATCTTAATAATCCTTCAAATTCTAATTTATGAGTATACAATTATTCTCAATAATTTATATTTTCAATTTGATTCAATCCAGTTATCTCATAGTTTTTCATTTATACAGTTTATTCTCTTATGTTCATTTTCTACGTAATTTATGATAGGTTTATATATTTATATTTTAATAGTGTGCATTTACTCCATTCTAAGTTTTTATTATCACTTGCTCCGATTCTTCAAAGCCTTCTTCTTCCTCCAAATTGATTATCTAAGTCATCACCTCCATTAGACAAAGTCTCCTTGCCCTAAAGTCTTCAAGTCGTTAAATACATAAGCCAAATGAAAGTCAAGTCTTCCGCCTATAACTAGTTAAAAATCCTTTTTAATCTAGTTCTTCTAGATTATAGGTCCTAGTTCCCTTCTGGTATCAGAGCCGTAAGAGTTGAAAGAGTTGAGTCTAAGTCTGCTACTCATATCGCCCAAGTGGCTAATTTAAGCCTTCTGAGTTAGCAAGTCTCCCAAAATTCTTCAGAGTTAATAAGTCTCCCAAGTTGCTTTCTGAGTCTTCTCCGAGTTATCTAGTTCCTTAGGTTCATCTCTCTCAAGAGTCCGTAAGGTGAGACCTTTTTACCAAACAGTAAGTCCAAGATAGAGGCGTGAGCGGTTAGGCACGAGAAGGTGAGAGAGAGAGAAAACCCATAGGTTCTTAGGTACCTTAGAGTCAGTCTTAGAAGTTACCCAAGATTCTTTTTCTATACTTAGAAGTCATGTAAGAGCCTTTCTAATTTAGTTGATTTAAGTCTTTCATGTAGGCAAAATGAGTCACTTATTTAGAACCAATTCAGTTAATTCTACCAGTTCTAGAACCAGTTTATGCCCAGTACCCAACATAGTTAATGAAGAACAATTAGAATTTGAGTCATCCAGTAGTGAGTTACATTGTAATGATTGGAATATACCTAGAGTCCCTAGTAAAGAAATTTATAAGCAAAAATGGTCAATTAATGCATTCAAGCAAACTACGCATATTAAGACAGTAGAACAAGTCTATGCCTTAGGAAAAGAACATGAAACATGTCAGTTACTTAATCTTGAGTCAATCAAGAAACATAGGAAAGAAGGTAATAATTTCTTGCATATAGGATTAGTTCAAGTCCCAGTCAAACCCTTAACTAAGTTAGGTCTTAATGCAGCAATTCTTTTAAGTTTAAGAGATGCCAGATTTAATTATTTCGAAGATGGAGTTTTAGGAATTATTGAATCAAGCTTAAGTCATGGTCCAGTTCATTTTGATTGTTTTCTAGATTTCACAGTAAGCCTAAGTGATCCTCATATGTTGAAAGTTTTAACTTTAAATATTAAAACACATGGTTATAATGTCTTACTAGGTAGTGAACCTCTAGCTTTAATTTATAGAATTTATTATAAAGTCACAGGTACAAATATGAATTTTCAAGCCCTTAGTAAAAGCCCAAAGAATCAAACGCTTTTAATTCAGAGCCATACATCTAATGCTAATATCACAGTTCCCAAAATGATTAGATGGTCTGACATAAAGTTACCTCCAGATTGGTTTCTTACAACTGAATGCCCCCCTAAGCCGGTTCAACGTAGTCTAAGCGATTTAGATTACATTCAACCTTATTTAGATGGTACAGTTAAGATAAGTTTTGATAGGCCAGTTAAATCCACAGTTCAGCTAGAACAGTTACCAACGCCTAGTCAATCTTTTAAGCTCCCCGCTAGACACTCGTCTGCTAAGTCATCCTCAATTACAGAACGCGATTTAGAAGCCGATAAAGCCCTAATTGATCTTAAAATTAATGAATTAAGAAAACAAAAGCAAGTAGTTCAACCAAGATACGGAAAAGCCCCTACTGCCCCTCCTAAGCCAATTCAACCAGAGTCACCTACTCGCACAGATTTTGAAGGTTCCACCTTTGATGTTTGTGATGCCCAGTTAAGAGTAATTAGTAAACCATTTAAAATTCATTGGTCTAAGTTAGATGCCCATTTCCAAGCCCCTGAAAATGCCGAAAGAAAAGCCAAGTATCATGATTCCTTCCCCAGAACTCAAAGAAAAGAAATTTTCAATGAGTGGAAAGAATATCTAAAGGCAACTAGGTCTGAGTCACCTTATCTTGATTACGTAGAAAGTAAGTACATGAGTCAAAAGTTAGTTACTTTAACCCAGGAAAAGTGGGAAAAAGCCGACAGCACCAAAGTCATCAGCAGTCACCCCCCGGTTGAAACAATAGTAATTAGTCACAAAAATGCCAAAGTTGTAGCCAGTCCTTACAAAGTTGCTGAGTCAAAAGATGAACAGGTGTCTGCCGCGCAAATCTCACGGCCTGGAGTTCCGGGCCGAGGGGATGTGCGTTAACACGGGGTTTCCTGCTTTTGGGTGCGGTGCGGTTGTGCGCGGGCGTGCCATCACGGTTTACCGTGCGTTGATGTGTTGATAAGTGTTGGATGGATAAGTGGTGCGCCTGTTTGATCTGTCTTCCTAGTCAAACGATTGTAGCCGAGAGAGGAACTGGTCTCGGCTATTAGGTTCACGGCCTGAACTACAAGGCCGTCGAGTGATGGTGTTGGTGGTGGATTTTGGGCGGTGCTCCGGCGCGCTGCTCAGGGAGCGACGGTCGTGTGATATATGGGGTGAGTGAACGAACAACAAGGATGGTGCTCCGGCGCCTTGAAAATCAAGGGTCGTATGATATATTGATGAATGGATTCTGCTTA